TTTTACCTTGTGAAAGAAATTGCTTGCATATATATTATACCATCACTTCACTTAAATGGAGGTCACTTATCTGGAAAATTAAGTCAGGAAGAGAAAGAAGAGAAATCCTCTTGTTCTCAGGTAGGGCTAAATTAGTCTTGATCTACTTTTTAAAAATAATTCAAGAAGCTCAGTTTTTTATTTTCCTGGCTTATAGGTAAAGAGTACAACCAAAAGCAGAGTACTACATGAGATACGCACATGGGCAGCAGATAATCGCATCCCTCAGTGGGCTGGGAAGGGACCTAAAGTAATAAAAGTGACACAGAATTCATCAATTCAACAGCTCGGGCTCTTTCCTTATGGGGATATCAGAACTCAGAAGCCTGTAGGAAGCCTAAGGCTGTTCCAGCATCAAGCTAAACATGGTGCTTGACTGGGTGCTTCAGTTTTAGATCAGGAATTGCACGTGATAACCTCTGAGGTTCTTTGTACCTCCGAGATCCTATGATTCTATGATTCAAGTCACCAAGAAAAAGTTAGATTATATTCAGTATGCACAGTTTTAAAAGATAGAAAGTGTATTGTTTAGGAACGCATGCCACTGTTTCTGCATTACCTAAGACAGAGGAGTGATAGGAGTGGTCACTGCTGTCCTTCTTAGTTACTGTTGCCTCAAGGCCTGAGGTGGGCTCGTGGGCACCCTTTGTCAGAGAACTAGACTTTCCAGCCCCACTGAGAGATGGCTTTTCTCATCTTGCATTTTTTTAGTGTCCTGTGCCATAGTTCAGTCTATGTAGTTGGGGATATATCCTGTTCCCAGAGGGATAAATGTTGGTCTTCAGACCATATTCAGTGTGAGGCCCAGTAAAATGGACAGTCCTCGTGGTCCAGGACTAACACTGCTGAGGCTAGTATTAGTAGGTGGAACTTCTACTATCCTGAGGTTTTCTCTAATTTCTTTGCGTGCTGCTTATTTACCTCCTCAGTCTACTTTTCTCCAAACTTGAGCAGCAGGGAGGTGTCTTAGTAAGAACGTGTAGGATTTTATTGTCTCAATTTTTAAAACTCAATGCTATTTTTCTTTTTTGGGGTGAGGGGCAGGAAAAATAGTGGCTGAATCTTCTGTTTCTTTCCTTAGCTATGTCTAAATGTTTAGAGCATCGGATTGTACCCCTTCTCTTGTTTGGGTGGTGAATTTTTGTGATTTTTTCCTTTTTTATGGGGTGGGGAATTATTTTTTTTGAGAATTAGAAGAGGAAAAATGGTCCAAACTTACTTGGCCATCTTTATCAGGAAGGCTCCCGGAGTTGTATTTCTAAAATGAAATCTGATTATGTTTCTCCATTGCTTAAACCCCTCCCATACGCCCCCACTGCTTTCCGGATAAAGCTTAAATTACTTCCCATAGCTTACAATGTCATGGTCTCCTCCATGACCTGGCCTCTGCTTGTTTCTCTATATTATATATGGCAAATTGTCCCTCATTGTCTATATTCCAGTCAACTGAACTACATTCAGGTTCTGGAATTAACCTGACTCTCCTCTCTGTGCCTTTGCACATGCTCATCTTTTGCTTGGCATATTTTTCTCCCTCCTTTTCTCAGCCAATTTCCCCTTGCTTTTCACACCTCATTTGATCTTACTTCTGGGAAGCCTTCTCTGACCAACCAGAGAGTGTGCTGTGCCTATTCTGAGTGTTCTGTAATTCCTTAGGTGTGCTACCCTTGTAGCACTGATCATACTGTTTTCCAGTCTTTTTTCTGATCTGCTGTTTTCTAGTGAAGATCTCTCATTAGACTTTTGGTTTTTGGGGGGAGTGATGGAGTCTAATTCACAGTCAAATCAGTAAATCTTTTTGGATTTAATGAATGTTTTCACTGTGTGCGTGTGTGTGTGTGTGTGTGTGTGTGTTCCACGGTGCTGGGTATAGGACAGATAACATATGCTTGTAGAATAATAAATACTTGTTAATCTAACATGAGCTTTCTGGTTGATTTGCAGTTTTATGTATGGGGAACTGACTGATAAAGACACAATTGAGAAGGTGCGGCAAACATTTGAGAACTATGAGATGAATTCCTTTGAAATTTTGATGTACAAGAAGAACAGTGAGTATTCAGACCATTCTGAACCATACCTTTATGTGTTTAGAATAGTAAAATATCTCCTCTTCCTCTGTTGTCTTGGTTTTTCTTCTCTCCCATCAGCTAAATGTTGTTACTTGAAGCCATTGTGTATGTGGGGATAAATGTTATTGATTGATCAGTTACACTGTTCTTCGTGGGAACATCTGTTGAGGTTCTTGTAACTAACCAGTTAAGACTTCATCTGTTTTGCTGCTGGGTTAGTGTTTTCCCTATTGGCTTACTTACGGTGAATTGCTGGCTTAAGGCATTTGTAGACTTGAAGACATCTTAAAGCAGGAGGGGAAAGGTGGGACAGAAACTCCGTCCAGTTCGTCTTTGTATCCATCTTCCACAGCACCTAGCATGGCCAGTAACACCAGTAGGCACCCAATTAAGAGCTTAGAAATAAAATTTTATTCTCCTGGTGACCCCAGGAGATAGCATTAACTACAGCTGCATCATTAATTTGTATTTGTTTTGGCTACAATTACTTCTCCAAAGCATGTTAATGAGGTTTTTAGGTCAATAGCTATACACAAGTATAAAATTTGCTTTTTCCTTTGGGAGGTTTCCTATTGAATGGAGATTAGCTATATCAGAAGTATGGAAAGTGGGGCATATGGCCCTAGCAGGGCTGCAGAGGTGTTAATAGTGCTCCGTTTCTGTTTTTGAAACACTATTGTTTTTTATATGTAGGATCGACTGGCAGATAATTGGTTCAATAGAACATTTCCAGAGTAGCCCAGATGGCACATGAGGATAAGTGTTTATTTTGGTGGCATTCAGGTCTGAGTGATATGTTTTGCTCTGGAAAACAAAGAGCACATATTGCTTTTATCTAGAAGGGAGCTGGGACTTTTTTTTTTTTCAATCTGGAGTGTTGGAGCAAGCGACCGAGAGGACCGTTTGCTTCCTGGTCTGAGCAGATGCTGATCTGAGAGATTAGCACTGGCCATCCACAAGCCCAAGAGGGTTGTCCCCACAGCCTGTACACTGGAGTTGTTGCCTCGCTCCAGCTCACCCCCTCTGCCAACAGGTCTAGTTCCCACCCGCTACTAGCTACAAGAGGAATGAGGTGAAAGACTGTGAAGGGCTTCCTGCCAGTCCCTCCACTATAGGGGAACACAACTCAGAGCAACAGCTCGTACCGGAAGCGCTCCAACAGTGGCCTTCTCATGGGAAAGGCATGGTCTGCACATGTGCACTGAGCTAATGGAGTGAGTTAAAGGTTTTCCACGCTAGCAGCTTTGTGTCCTGAACAGTGTGGCTTTCCCCATGACACAGAGCTAATTGGGTAGGTGTATCACATGAAGAATGCCCTGCATTTATATTTTGCTTTGGCATTTTCATGCTTCATTAGACTATGCATTTAACTTACCCAAATTCAACTATACATGTTTGGCCCAAAAGGGAGAGAGAGGGAAACAATTTAAATTGCGTTAGTGATTGCACCTGCCATTCTCTTCAGTGAGCACGTGCCCCAGAGTGAGTATGATGTGGGAGAGGGCAATCTGCTGTTTCTCGGTGACCTTGAGGGCTGAGGGCCCTGGATTATGAGTATCTTACTGAAAGTGATTTTGGTATTTGAAGTTCTGTACTTTAGGTAGACATGAACTATCTATGGAAGCCAACTAGTTCAGCTGATGGGCAGCCAAAGAATCAGCATCTCTTCCCTCCCTGGAGGTTATAGTGGGCTTATTGAGGGATGAATAATAGTCTCCAAAGTGGCATGTCAGTCTGGACATGGGGCTCCACTTTATGGGTGATATTAAGACATTTTCAAGACTCATTGTGGTCATACCCAATTTTTACCTTAGGCTTTAAGAAAATAAACTTTGTATAAGGTATGACTCTATTTTAGAACGTTGATTCTCTAAGCCCTGTCAAGTAGGCATGGCTAAAAGTTAAATTTTTCACCCAAGGTCATGCAGTGCCAGGCAGGACCTGCTGTCCAGTGTTTACTCCATAACCATTCTTCTCAGTGTAATTGTGGGTACAAGGCAGGGCTGCCACATAGGGTCATGCAGGTCATTCCCTTCGTAGGGGTCAAGTGGAAACCAGCTCATGATTTCCTTGCTGAGTCCTCCATGCACCCTGGTCTGGAAATGCACGTATGTTGAGGAAGGAGTTTCCCTTTCTAATTTATGCAAAGATGTCTAGTTGGCCAGCAGGGACTCTATACAAGGCTAACCCTGTATGTAAAACATGAAGCATTAAATTGAGGAAATTATACAGATAATGTTGGTTTCTTCCTAGGACCTGCTCACTACCCCAAACTTCCTCCAAATCCCACCCTCTCCTGAAGCATTTAGAAACTTTAAATTATTTATTGAGTCTGGGAATTATAAAGTTTTGTCAGATTCTATGGTTTTTTTTTTCAGTAGCTTTTATTGACCCACTACCCTACGTCAGATGCTAGGCTTGCTGCTAGGGATGCATTTGTGAAAAGACAGTGTCTGCTCTTACAGCATCTGCAGGGCAGGGCAACACACACAGAACAGAACCGTATGTGCTTTGATGGTGATACCACATAGGTGGGCCATTTAACCCCAATTTAGGAGGTCAGGGAAGGAAGTCTTCTTAGCAGACATGAATTCCATGCAGAAACTGAGGACAGGTAAGAGTTAGACATAGAACAGGACAAAGAGTATCCCAGGCTGATGAAAAGCATCTGGAGAGGGCAGCAGGGGAGAGCACTGAGGGTTCAAGTGATACAAAGCAATGCTCCTCCAACTTTGATGAGCATAGCAATTCACCTGTGCACGGAAATGCCTATTTGTAGGCAGTGGGTCTGGCAAAGGGTCTGAGGCTCTGCTCCCAGGTGATGCTGATGTTGTTGGTGCACGTAGTACACGTGGAGTAGCAAGAATTGGAAGCAGCTGTAGTGAATGAAGACCGACTTTCAAGCTACCAGGTTGTGTCTCTTTCATGGCTGTATCCCTTGCACCCAGCCCAGTGCCTGACACACAGAAAATACTCCACCAAAACATATATAAAGAAGGGGTAACCAATGAAGCTGGAGAGGTTAGGAAGGGCCAGTCATGCAGCCAGGTGAAAGAGTTTAGTATTTGTCTTAACGGCAACAGTGATGGGGAAGAGAGTGGGGGTGAGGGACGTTGAGGGGTTTGAAGCAGGGTAAGGATATCATCATTTCATTTTAGAAAGATGGCTGCAAGCTGGGCGTGGTGACGGACACCTGTATGTGATCCCAGCAACTGGGGAGGCTGAGGTGGGAGTTCAAACCCAGCCTGGGGCAACGTAGGGAGATAGGGAGAGCCAGAAGAAAGAAAGAGAGAAAGGAAAGAAAGAAAGGAAAGTAAGGGAGGAAGAAAGAAAGAAAGAAAAGAAAGAAAGGTGGCTCCAGCCTAGCGAGACTGGAGGTAGAGAGGCCCATTAGGAGTCATCCTGGCGACAAGATGATTGTGGCCTGGTCAGGGGAAGAGGAATTTGAAACGGAGAGATGTCCAAAGGGGCACTGGCGGGGAGGCCGAGGGTAGGACTTTGTCAGTGGCGTCCAGTGATCTGCTCTTTCCTGCTTGCCCGGGCCCAGGGAGTAGGAAGCCGCGCATTTCCGCTCAGGACCTGGGGCCCAGCCTGGGGTGAAAAAACACGGCGTTTAGGTCGGACATAGAGGCAGTGCTTGGTGAATGTTTGCTGAGTGACTTTGAAAGGGACTTGGTATTTACCAAGAAACAGATGAATGAAAGAACATCACGTGATTCACAGTGAGGGCTTTGGAGCAGCGAGCAGTGTGGCCACCCTGGCGACTGGGAACGGAATGGGTCCGAGGAGAGGGAAGACGACCTCAGTTTCTCTTCACCTCTGTGGAGACAGAGTTTGGTTCCACTTCCAAACTTTGCGGTTCGATGGAGTGAAACGTAAGCATTTTAAAGCAGTGTAGAGTCCTGTGAAGGAAAGCCCACTCCTGTTGAGATATTTTAAAAGTGAGATGTCCTAATCTAACAATATTTATTTTTTTCTCTGATTTTTAATGCATTTTTTATCATGGAGAATACACAAAGAGAAACACAAAGACGAGAAACCCCCAAAACTCAGAGAAATGGTACTAACTTTTAGGTGTGTTTTCTTTTAGTTTTTGTGCACACCTTGCATAATGGATATTTTTATATATATGCAATTTAAAAATAGTGTTTATTTTTTAATCTTTTATCACAAAATATCTCCATCATTAAAGTTTTTCATAAATATAGTTTAGAATTTTATTAATGCTTCCTCTGTTGGATATTTAGGAGGCTCTAAATTTTCTTTATTAAGAACAATGTTGAGGTGAAAATCATTGAGCAAAGATAGTTTGCTGACATTGTGAAATATTTCCTAGAAGTTGAGAATTGCTGTGTCACAAACGTGAACTAAGGTTTCTGAGACATTTTGCCAAATAGCTGTCCGGAAGAAGTGAACCCACTTCCGAGTTCTCAGGCAGAATATGAGTGTCTGACTCATTGTACCTCACCAGTATTGAATAGTATAACTTAAACTATCACATTTTCCACAATTAATTTTTTTGTTTAATGAGGTTTTTTTTTTTACTACCAGTGAGATTGAAGTATTTTTTCTGATTCACTATCCATTTAAAATTATCCTTTTAAATGTTAATTGTTCGGATTATTTGCCCATATATTCTATTTAAGTCTAGTGATTTTTTTTTACCGATTTTTACAAGCTTTTAATAAATCGCTTTGGTTCTTTTTTCTTCCCTGCTTTTATTCTTTACTATGTTGCAAGGACAACTTTGTAGAAAGGATCTTTTATTGATAAGCATTAATGTTTGTCTCACCATTTGGGGAGGTGGGAATAATTAGTAATTATTCCCTAATTACTAACAAATGAGTAATTAGGCTTCACAGTGTGTTTGGAATGAGCGTGTGGAATACTATTACGTATCTTGAAGGATGGATCGTTTGAAAGATTTCTATCTATTGGCCAGTCTGAAAACCTGGCATTTCTTTGTACTATATGTTTCA